AGAGCCCAGATTGTGTCATACAACTGTCTTTTGTTCACGAACCTGGCTCAGTGCACTGCTGACCTCTTTTCAATAGGGGCCAGATTAGCGTGCAGGGGTGCTGCGTGGCTCATCACTGCGGTGGTGGAACACTTTTGTCCCTGGTGGTAATCCGCTCGCTGTCAATACCCCAAACCCTGGTATATAGTTTCAAAACAAGGCTGGATTATCACCACTTTTGAGAGTGAAAAATGCCGGTAATGCCCAGCAGCCTGGTCTTTTGTTCCGAGTATGGTCTTTTGTTACAGGGCCCTGTTTCCTTTGTCCGAGTTCGGAGACCCCGGCCACACATATAAACCATACGGCTCCGATTTCGGAGTCCCCGGCTGGTAGTGGTTAAACTACGGTAGATTGGTTGTTAAATAGTTTTATTTTAACTGCAGTTCAACACTTCTGAAATTTTCACCCTTATGTCACACTTTTTACCCGAACTTAATGGACAGATCTATACATGTAATTGATATTCTAAAGAAATAATGCTGTGGTTTGTCATACTTCTCAAACTTACTTTTTGTGCATCTTCATACTTTTTTACAAAACACCAGTATGAAAACTTTTCCAAAATCCTTTTGGGGTGAAAAGTTTTGAAAAGTGCACTTTTTAACGTATTTGTAAAAACAAATTGTCGAAGTTTTTCTTGACAAGTGACGGTATTGTTGCTTTGATGTAAATTAGGGGCACACAACTCAGTTTGAATGTACATGTACAAGTACATTGTATTCATGCATAAATACTGCACCCAAATTTGATTTTCTTAAATTACTTTAGAGAAAAGGCTGTTTGCTGAATGATGTAGTGCCGTTTACCAAAGAAACCCAGCTTTTTGTTGCACTAAACAATACAAAGTTGAGGTTCTTGTTTTGAACATCAGAGTCTTGCTTACAAATATGCAGCATTGCATACATGGAAACTTCATTTTTATACATGCTAAAATGCTACTCCAGTATTTACCCGTGTTGTTTTTTTCACTGACATTTTCCATTCCAGTCAGAGCAACTATCCTGTAAGGAAAGCAAACAATGTGAAATATAGTGCCAGTACTTGGTTATAAACGTTTATAAAATTTGTGTTGTTCGTCTACATGAACAGGCTCACATGTGCGACCGGACCGTGGTTATGGTGGCGACAGGTCAGGCACGTTGCTTGGAATTCATCATTCATTGTGCAAAGACCGAATTAATTTCTGAAAAAATAAACACACAAACATAGCTGCAGAGAAGCATGTAGTAAATTCTGGACAGGGTTTTCAGTCGCCGTCAGGGCATTATCATTCAAAATGTCTTACCTTTATCACTCATCTCGAGATTTCTCCTCAGACTTGTGCACACTGAAGAACTACTTCCGCCCATGGTTTCATGTTTAGTCGGGCGCAGTCTTCATTGCAGTATCCAGACATTGATTTACAGTACCATAGGCACTGTCGGTCTATGGGTTATTTATGTCTGTGACCGGTACTGACCCTATTCAATCAGAAGCAGCGCAATTTTTTTTTTGGCCTAACCATGGAGGTAGAAATACCTCAATGGCCTAACTGATTTGCTTCTTAGTGTCGTAAGATCCAGCGAGGGTAATGTTTATCATGTCACAGTTAAATGTCCATTTACACGCGTTGCAAAACACATGAGCTTCTCCACGACAAGACTTTGCAATGGCCCAAATGTATTTGTCCTTCAACTTCTGCTCACTTGTTGCCACGATGCAAAACAAGTCCAGTTGCTCACCAAACATCCAAGAATTAAATCCTTGTCAGTCCTCCCACTCCAGTCAACTTTAGCACGATCATGATGTTTGACACGCGCGTGTAAGATATCAGTAAACATATACATGTACAACACGCATATGGACGTACGCAATCACATTGCAATCGTGCATATTTGCCCCCTATTCATCATCAGGGCAAACGGATGATTCAACCACACTGGTTTCTACTGCTACCACGCAGTGTGTGTGCACAAAGCGCAAAATGCCAACGACACATTTCTGACGCCCCCATTACAAGGCCGGCTCCGCACTACAGGTAGCTTACATATTTATGTTTACATACATATGGTTTTGTACCTTTAGAAATCGAAAAAATCTTAGTCTGGATCATACAGTCTTAAATGGACTAAACAAATCGAAAAATTATGCCCAAAATGTACAAGTTGCCATCTCTGCATTTTCAGTAATGTTTCAGTTCATTTTTTTGAAAATCCATGCTGGGCGGCACAGCCAATTTGTACCCTGAGTGCCGGGTGGAAATTTGCTGTACCAGGTGGTGCCGCCCAGCACCGCCCATCGTGGCTAGAATCCCAAACGCAAGTATGTAAATGTGTCTCTGTGTTCTGCGATGTAGTTTCTCTGCTACAATAGCACCCGGCCGGTCTAGCTCATTAACTTGTTGTGCGCTCAAGTGCACATGGGCATGCGGTTCACAAACTTTCCGGCCCCTTAGCAAGAACAGACTCGCCATTAAATAGTGGACTGTACATGGAAGTACGGTAAGGCCTTACTGGCAAGCCCCCTTAGTGGAAAAAACCATTGTGAAGAGATGCATCTTAAGCTTCTGCGTGAAAGATGTTACACTGTCCAATCCTCTGATTTCAAGTGGCAGGGGGTGCCAGAGCCGAAGTGCAACATTAGAAAAAGCTCTGTCACCATTACTGACAAGGCAAGAGGAATCCTGTTGATAGGGTGCTCAATTGTGGTACCCTACACAACAATGGGGGACTTTGAGACACTGGTAACAGGAGACATGTATACCAGCCCCTTTTCACAATATTGCACGTGCTCATAACCATGGAAGCATGCTCAGAATAATATGCGCATGCTCACAACAGTGTGCGCATGTTCAGAACTGGTAAAAAGGACTGGTATGTTTGGCACCATCAAGCATCTCAGTCTCCCATTGGGCACATGAACATACTTAACATGCGCACAGTAAATGGGAAAGCTGCCCACTATTTACTACATAAGCCTGATAGAACAAACAATTTTGCAAGATCCCCAGCCAAATTTTTGTCTGGCAATAAGTCATGCATTTTTATTTGCAGCGGATGTTATACAATGTAAATGTACATGTAGTTGAGAATGTGTTTTCCTTACCAGCTGCAAGTCTTTCTAGCCTCTTGGCATGCTCCGGTGGAATTCCATACCTGTGGTACAAAGACATCACATTCACTTATATTTATATACATCTTGACTTGGGCGGTATTTCGGTATTACCAAATACCGCAGTTTTGTTTTTAATACCGAACAATACCGATTAACAATCCATGAATACCGGAATACCGACTAATTCGGTATTGAAGTTCAATACCGCGGTATTCTGGCTAATTTGTTCAGAATGTTCCCACAACCCTCATAAGATGAAAGCAGACAATTATATCCACAACAGTGACTGCATACTTTATGGTTTCAGTCATCCAGCATCACGTTTGTATTGTCTCTTTTGGTGAAGAGATAAGACGTAACGTGATACTTCAGCATGCAGCCATCAACCTGCCTGTCAAAAGGTTTTGTTTCCCAATCGCCGCCGTCATCAAGTTTGCGGTTTTGGAATAGCTTGTAGGCAGTACTTCTTGTATTACTCGTTGGCACATGTATACACGTACATGTATCACAGCCCTACAGGTTGGGAATTAAAAATCAGCTGGTCTTCCGTGTCAGCACTGGACTTTATTTTCCGAGGATTTTTATTGGCGGATCAGAAAATGTGAATGCTGCTTGTGCTAGCCTTGTGCTCTCTTTGGGTCTTTTTTTTTATACACAACATGTACAGATATTGAGTGAAAATCTATCTAACCGAAGCCAGGAATGTGTGTTATAAACTATAAATGATTCCATAAATCTGCATCTGTTCGACACCCAGGGCAATCAATGATCTTTTTTATTGTTCTCACAGTCGTTCCAACCACACGAAAAGAGAAGCAAAAACCTGATTCCTCACTTGTCACTGCTTGTATTTCAGTTTTTCCGGAATATAATTAGGGCAACGTGGCTGATCAAAAAGATCTCTCCGTTATGATTACCAAATACCTTGTGATGTGCTTAGAATAATAAACTTCACTGTCATAGGACAACATGTTTAATGTGCATGTGAAATTTAAAAAAGCAAATACATATGAAAGCATCATTCCAGGGATTTTTAAAAGACTTTCAATCGCCACGGATGACGACGAAGCCAACAGTAACTAACCTGCATGCACATGTAGGCCTGGATGTACCTGCAAGAATGTGAAGGCTCATCAACTAAAGCCCCCATCCACATAAGTAGTCTTTCCAACACAAATTGTGTCATGGAGAGACATTTTTTGTTTAATTTTTCGCCTCTCTTTTGATTTTTGACACAAGCTGCATGACACGATTGATTGGTCGTCCGAGATCACTCGTGCGCAAGATGGTCGCCGAAGAAGCATAATGTCATGAACGAGTACTGCGATTGGATAGCTGTGTCTTGCCAAATGTACGTCATGAAAGCGCACAGTCTCATTGGCGGGCACGCTAGATCTCTTTGCGGCAATATGAATAATTCTGTGTTGGGCGATTAGTTGGACTCTTGAGATATGAGAATAGTCATGCGAACTTATTTGGGGCCTATTTTATTGGAAATAGGATGGGAATTTTTGTTTTGGCGTTTGTGTAATGAATGTAAAATATCATGGATTTTTTAATCGTGCACTATGCGTGTCATGACGACAGGAATCTGACAATCGTGTTGTAAGCATGCGTGCGATAAGCCTTGTGTTGCGCAACTGGAAATTTTGTGGAAGCACGCTCGCTTGAGTACAAGCAGTACAACTTCAAATTAAATTCATGAACACAGAAAACACAAACATAAACATGAGATCATTTTTTGTGAATGAACCTGCAGAAAAATTTGTGACGGCAGTGTTTTTCTACTTGCAACTATAGAGCTGCATAGTGGAACGTACGACCCTTTTTTGGCAGAACCTGTACATTGACTGCTTGCCACATTTCCATCATGCCTTCA